GTCAAGGAAACAATTAGAAACAATTAGAAAGAGTCAAGGAGTCTATAGTGCACTGGAACAATAAAATAAAATAAACATTATTAATTGTCAATCTAATATGTTCGCCAAGCAATGGAGCAACGTATAAGACTGCAATGTCGTTCACTAGTTTTTTTATGGCGTACAAGCAGGCCGGTAAACGAGCAGACGGATCACCTGATAGTAAGCAATCGGCGTCGCCCATGGACACCTGGAACACCAGAGGCGTTGCAAGTGCGTTACTGGCCTTTTGGGGATTAGAAGTTTGAGGATCGTTGGGGATTCAGGTATTGGGGAGATTGGGGAAAGGGGGGGGGGGTGTAATTGGACGTCCGTAACTTCACTCACACGACGAAACACAACGCAAGCGTTGCATCGGTTTTCTGCTCGGCCGTGGCATCACTCTGGTCGAGCCGGCCCATTCGTGCCGAAGCATAGCTCTCTCACACTTAGTTCTCGATAGCTTCTCACTCAACGACACTCCCTCAACAAACCGATAGTAGTGGTGTACGCAAACTGTAACTATACACGCTAGTGGCGTGAGATCGTATCGCATCCCCACGCCCAACGGTGGGATAAAGTTCCCAACCAACAGGAAATTAAACGAAAAAACAAGATCACATTGTAACTAAGTTAATTTTGTTAATTTGATACAGTTTCAGCTGTTTATTTGTCGATAGGTAATGTAATTAGATTTCGTACTTATTTCATTAATGTTAAAGTAGGTTTTTCTAGGTTAGAAGTTGTATTTGACAAGAAATTATACATATTAGGTATGAGATAGAATGAAGATACTTGAAATTTGAAACAACAGTCATCTGCATGTTTGTCGGGCTCATAAGAACACCGGAATGTTGTGAATTTGTGTCCTCTATTTTCTACCTTACTTTGTTTCTTTTGTACCAACCTTGCTGGGTGAATATTTTATTAAATAAAACCTTTATAATACAAGTTTAAGCCCCCAAATGGGTGGTACTTACGTCACAAACGAGAAAAAAGAGGATGAGCCACCACTTGCACCAGTCTTTTCATCTAAAAGTAACCAATAGTATTTATATCTGTCATAAAAAGAGATAAAAAAGAAACAAAAAACACAATACCTTTTGTCCTTTTGCCACAAGATCACAGATTACCTAAACACGGTGACTCAATCAATATTCTAAGAAGCTGCCAGCGTCATAAACCACACCTTCCATTTTCAAACTAACGTGACGTCACTGAACGACATTTGTGACGTCATTACTACCGCTATTGGCAAGTTAATGATGTCAAAACTAATTTGTGTTCACATTAAAGCATTACCAAGTGTATAGTACACTTGAAAGTGGCGCTAGTGTCTTTGTGAAAGAACGTTGCTATTGAACATTTTGTTTAGTGTTTAATTTAGTTCTGAATTTGCCCACCTGAATGTTTAAATTGGTATTAATAATGTGTTTATATTATTACATACTTTATCAAATTGCCACCAAAATATGAATGAACAAAGATTTATAGTGAAATGAAAACTGTTTAATATTGAAATTGTTATGATGATGACGGGGATGTCTCACATTTGTCAAAGGGGATTTTATTTGTAGGTAGCTTTTTTATTTGTAAATGCAACAACAGAATAACTCGAAATGAGTAAGAGGAAAAAAAGATTGGAATTATTCATTATCATATCAGTATTATTGTCACGTCACAACAATCTCAAATGTGTAGTCTTTCGTCTTTCAGTTAAGATGGCCCAATATTTCTTCTCAGAATTGAGAAAGAATACATCAGACACATTTAAAAATGTACTGTTGCCGAATTTATGGATCTGAGCAAATAAGAGTATCATTTAGGTTAGTTTGTTTATTTAAGATGACGATGTGATAAATGTCGTAGAGAGCTGGTGGATCACCGGAACTGTAGACAACCTAACGGGTTACCAGGGCTCCGGCTCGAAGAGCAGAACTAGAAACGAGGTGGATTTTAGTAATTAAGAGTTATTTTATTGCCTCGTTGGCCGAGTGGTCACAAGTGCGACTGCGCGGCAAGGGGTCTCGGGTTCGATTCCCGGGTCAGGCAAAGTATTACTGGGTTTTTAAAATTCTTAGTAGTAGCACGGAGTTTGGAAATGTGCCCGGTATGTGGCAATAGGCTCACCCCCTATTACATGGGTCTCAAACCATAAATAGTGAAAAGGGGGTGTTACATTGTACAGTCGGGTTACAAAAGTCCATAAGACCGCATTAAGTCCATAAGAACCAAAAGTGAATAGACATTTCCTATGCACTTTTGGTTCTTACTGTACAGTGGCATAATGTGCACCTCTGCCTTCCCCTTCAGGGATCAAAGGCATGATGTTATGTTATGTAAGTTATTTTACTAACACTTTCGGGAGATATTTTTCAATGATTTTACCACCTCAAAAGAAAGGGAGCTTCTGAATACAGATCAATTGTGATGATCTGAAAAAAAAAACAAGTTATTTACAAAATGTAGATTCATTTTAACTTTAACATTCGTCATAGCAACCACACCAAAAAAAAATGAACTGGCAGTTTCAAACAATTCATATGACGAAATGGAAGTCCATCTACAGAAAAACATTGACTATTCCCCACCTATGAGTAGATAGCGTAGAGGTACACGAGTACGGCCACGCAAACTTATTGACTTAACACGACCATACACCTAGTAACAACAGTATAACGATGTTTGCCCACTCTCCCCCGAGATATGACATGACGTTTTACGGGAATTAAAAACGCTACCCCAACCTCCCCTTTATAATATCTTATATTTGGTTGATTAAAATCTCTTTAGAGTTTTTTTTTCTGTTATGATTAAATGATGAAGGATTATTGGTAATTTAGTTTTTTGGGTGGAATTCGATATGTGAATGAGAGATGTTATTGCGAAAATGAAATGGTTATTTAATACAGTTTAACTCTTTTTTGATAGAATGTGAATGAAATGTATTATTGCGAAAGTAAGTGTGATTTCCAATGCACATTAACTTTGTGCGTGATCATTATTAAGGACAACAATTGGTGAACAATATGATACAATGCCGTTTATATTATAACTTTCGTGATACATACAAAATCAATTATTATGTTTTCTGCTTGAAACTCGTCGAGTTCTTCGTCAAACAGTTTCGTGAATAAGTCGAAAACATAATAATTAATGATAGTCCTTTTTGTGGGGCAAAATCATCTAATGACTTCTTCCGCCTTAAGTTAGGCGAGAGGGAGTGTCAGACTCTTATTGAGTAAATACCACCCCGTTCCTACTCCTGCTCTTCGAGCCGGAGCCCCGGCAACCCGTTATCCGCGGCTCTATATCGAGCATCTGTCCCATTGGTCATCTGTGGTAGTCTGATGGCTAGCTATGATACAGTGCTTGGAACACGAAACTTATGTAAATTTATTAGGTAGGTTACTTACTTAGTAAAAATGACGATTTCATAATAATCGCGTCTAACCACAATTCATTTTAGTGGTTAGTGTTGTCCACCTTACAGAGTTGTAAGCCTAATATATTTCTACCCCGGTAGGTAACAATTTCAATATTTTACCGTTTTTAATAAAATTAACGAAATGGTAAGGATGATCTACCGAATCTTTTTAGAGAATCGATTTACTTATAAATAAACAATCTTTCTTTCTTTCTTTCTTAGACATATCAAGAGAACATTTACTACTTAACCTTTATCAAAGTCAAGTCAAAGTCAAAATCAGTTATTTCAATTAGACCAGAAGGGCACTTTTGAACGTGAACAAAAAATTAAAAGTGAAGCTATTTGCTCATTCCATCCAAGGTGTAGATTCCTATGGAGAAGAACGAGCAAGAAACTCCATAGGTTACTCTTTTTCAATCAGGTTCACAATACAATTCTCCAGTTACATAGTTTTGTTGTTTGGTTCTAACATTAAAATCTAGTTAGAGACATCGAAATGTGATCTTATTATTGGGTAAAGAACAGATTTTGTTAATATGATGAACACAACGAAATATCAATAGAAATAATAAAACAAAATATTTATTCACTTCCTGACCACCTGGTAATCAGTGGTACCAAACAACAATGGCGTCGAATTTCCGAATGAAATAAAAAATGATCTGTCAAACGGGGTGCTTTCCCGCCAATTTGGCGGCGGTTCGCGCCCTCACCACTTAGGGTTGCCATTTGGCGGAATAATTATCATTGTTGTTCTTTTTTATGTTGCTGGGTGCATATTTGATTATGATTTGATTGCACGATGATTATAGCAGCTGATATTGGTATTTTATTATATTAATATTGAAAGCCCTATTCTTAGTTGGTACGTACAAATTTTTGATTTCTGGTACGAAACCTGGTTTCATGCCTAACGAGTTATAAAACACATTATTATTATAATGAGATTGTGTTATAACTGGTGAAACAAGAGTGCACTGTTACGATAAATGATTTATTAATTACGACTGTATAATAATTATGTGTAGGTATTTATGATTGTGAGAATTTATCTACAAAAATTAACACAAACACTACAAAAGACTTCCTCAACAACGTAATAATAGAAGTGTTAATTTATAACAACAATATCAATAAGTCTACAACAATATTGTCATGCCCTATTACGTAAAATGTAATCTCATAAAGATCCGGTTACCCTACAGTACACACCCTCGCAACGAGATTAATAGGCCCGTGTTTAGACCGCCGTCGTCATGGCAGCCGGGGTGATTGTCAATCTGTCCGTACGCCCCCCACGCCACGCCTAAATACCACATCTCAAGGGGAACGTTAACTTATCTGGCAACACTGACATTTCGAGATGGTGAAAGGTTAATTGATTTTTTATTATTATCTGTTATAATTTTAATTTCGCGCTCTTTTTTCATCTGTGCAAGATTAATGGCGGCCATTTTGCAAGATGAAACTTTTACTCTAATGAGTTTTCTTCGTAAAGGTCAGATAACAGATATTGTAGAAACTTTTTACTGCTTATTTAGAAAAACAGAAGACTAAAAAAGCTGTCAACGCATCCATCCATCAAAATAAAATAGCAGAAAAATTCACACAATCATTCACAAACTTTTGGCTTCCTTCTCTAAATTTTCCGTTTCAATAACTCACAAACATGGCTTCAAAAAAGTCAAACGACGTACCTGCAAACCAAGAATTAAGATTAGTAAAACAGAATATTCCTGTACAGCTTACTGATTTATCCATATTTGACAATACATACGCTTACATGAAGGAGCGGTTCACCGAGGAGATGAGACGTATTGAACAGCAGATGAACAAATTCAGGTAATTATTGGCATCTGATGATGTCAGAGAGTATGATGGCCTTTCTTCCATGGTCGTGGGTATCGTTAAAGTTGATTGAAGGATTAGACCATTTGAAAGACACTTTTTTTAAGGGGGGGAAATCATCCAATGACTGCTCCCGCTTGGGTGAGGCGGGAGGGAGTGTCAGACTCTTACTGACTAAAAACCACCCCGTTTCTACTTATGCAATTCGAGCCGGAGCCCCGGTAACCCGTTAGGTTCTCCGCGGCTCCGTATTTGACAGACACTGGGGCAGCATAGCGCTTTCTAGTAAACCTGCACCTTTTAAACTGCGACTCCCAACCTTCCTACCTGGAGATATCCCTCTTATGTAGAGGACGTCTATAGTCCATTAATGGGCAGCCACGGGCTCTTGATGTTGACTGCAATCTTCAGTTTTTAAATGAATATGGTACCCTTAAGAAAAGAGCATACTATCTATTAAAGGCCGATAACGCAATTGCGATAGTCGTAACTCCTAGGCATTGCTCCTACTATTACTTCTTTACTTGTATTCAGTAAGGAGGCTCAGGTTCGATTCCCTGGTCAGGCAAAGCATTACTTGGTTTTTAAAAAAATATCAGTCGTAGCATGGAGTCTGGAATCGTGCCTGGTATATGGCAACAGGCTCACCCCTATTACATGGGACTCATAATATAAATAGTGAAAAGTGGGTGTTACATTGTACAGTGACATTTAACTCCCGTAATGTGCACCTCTACCTACCGCTTCGGGGATAAAAGACGTGATGTTATATTATGTTGTTATTGTGTTTTTTCTTTCAGCACGGATCTGACGAAGCTTTACGGTCAGACTTCCACGATCCAAACAGGTATTGTGCAGAATGCTGACAGTGTGTTCACTAACTGGGACGTAATCACAAATTCTCCCCTAGTACAGGGGGAGGGGGAGGATAAGAAATTGCAGTTACAATTTGATGTCAGCCAATTTGATCCGACAGAGGTAAGGAGTAATTTTGTCTTCATGATTACTTTTAAAATCGATTTTTTGAAAATTCATAATACTGAGTGTGAAGTCTGGAATTATGCCCAGTATATAATATGGCAATAGGCGCACTCCTTATTAATAGTAACTATATGTAAAAATGTGCAACTTTAGCTCATTACTTTACTTAATATTATTATTAATTGTGCCTGGTATATGGCAATAGGCTCACCCCCTATTACACGGGACTCATAAGATAAATAGTGACAAGTGGGTGTTACATTGTACAGTGGCATAGTGTGCACCTCTGCCTACCCCGTTGGGGATAAAAGGCGTAATGTTATGTTATGTTTTATTATCAGATATCTGTAGAAGTGGGAAACGATTTACTGGTCGTCTCAGCGAACCATGAGGAGAAGACCTGTGATTCCATGGTCTACCGCGGGTATAATAGAGAGTTCAAGCTGCCTCCAGGAACAAACCCTGAACAGGTGGTGTCCTCATTGTCTCGGGATGGGGTCCTTACCGTACAGGCTCCACTACCATACCTATTACCAAACTAAAAATAAGAAGATTAATATCTGATTCTGTTATAGAAACAATAAACTGGGTTAATTTTAATATTCAAGTGTTTTTTTTTTGTAGGTAAATGTAATATTGTGAGTCCTGACTAATCCTTATTAATATTATAAATCGGAAAGTGAGTTTGTTTGTTTGTTCCGCTTTCGCGCCGTAACTACTCAACCGATTGCTTTGAATTTTTGCAGACGTGAAGTTAGAAGTCTGGATTAAATAATAGGGGTTTTATCCAGGAAAATTTTGATATTCTCGAGGGGAACACGAAATTATTGGTATACATGGCGCTGTGTGTATTGGTATATGTCACAGGCTACTTTTTATCCTTTTGTGACGCGAGCGAAGCCGCGGCTAAAAGCTAGTAGAAAAATATAACTGTTTAACTGATCAATCCCCAAACGGTCACCGGTGACAGTTCTCCACCAACTCCATTATAGACCTTATTTCCGACGTTTAGAGACTACTTTTGTATGAACAAATTTTGAGGATTTATATCAAGTGATTGTGTATGAGTGAACTACATTTATTTCGAACAAAGTGACGTATTTTAAACCCCGAAACATAATAATACATTACATGCCATTGATATATAAAACATCAGTGTTCAAAGAAAACAGTGCCATCTACTGACCACAAACTCAAATCGGTTCAATCTCAATTTGCCTCAACTGGCCTCGAGTCTCTTTAACTCACCTCTCTATGATGATGACACAAAATCGATAGAGCAAACACCAAGAGAGGCGTCCTATCGACCGAGCTCTTCGCGTGAGTATAATTCAATATCTACATGAGGTTAGAAAGATAAGCAATGACTAAATGAAGTTGAAGCGTGTATTTCAATACGGTAGTTGACAATTGATAACTAGTCAATTTTTTTTTAACTTAACTTGTGTATTTAATTTTATAGAATTTCTACAAAATACTTATCGTACAGATATTACTTACATTTCTTAATGAAATAAATAATTAAAACTAAAATATTTACACCTTAAAAAAAATAAAATACAAATTAAACCTTAGGGCATCAAAGAAAACATTTTCCTCATCGCTACCGTGAGGTAGGGTGCCCAAAAGACTGGCAACATTGCCACGTTGAATGGCAATGCTTAACCTTTGCCTAAGGTAGTAGCCAGCCCTTCGATCACCTGAAGTGTCAACCATCCTCCTTACAATATCTTTGTAAAGAAGATGTGCACTTGGGCCCCACGGCCCTAAAATTCAATACTATTATCGAAACGTCAAAAACGATACTGTTCTATGAATTTTGTACGAAATACCATCTTATGACGTCATCATGTTTTCGCGTCAAATAGCACACTTATATCTAAAAACAATGCTAGATTAAATCGAAAATTATGTATATCGGCGAATCAATGAATGAACGTGTAACTATTTTTCTATATTTAATTGGTCTGAAAAATCAAAATCATTTATTTTTGACTTAGGAAACTACCCAATGAGATGAAAACTGTTGAATGTCAACGACTAAAATATACCTGCATAGAAATATCTCTAATCTGATCTAATGTATGTTGTTGTTCATTAGTACCTAATTTAGAATCTGGAATTTAGTGGTTTTTCACCTCTTTATCTTAGTAGAAAATCTTTAGTAAATCGCCATGGAAAGCCCAAACAGCTAAGGGCTAGTTATAGTAAGAAAAGTTTATAAATACGTCTAGGCGTCTTCATAATAGAGGTCGTAGACCGTACCTATATCAATGTATCAGACTAATATTATAATTGGGATGATGACAGGGTATAAAAATTAAAAATATAATTAGTCCGTAAGTTAGGTTATGAAAAAATATTAGACACGTATTTTTTATTTTGTCATATAATGCATCTGCTGGTATAGGAATATATCATATTATTGAGAGATATCAGCTATGTATAACTTAATTGCCGTACTCAAAAACATGACATGATTAGGTACTTAAAATGAATTCCTTAGTAACGATTTTGCTAAGGACTGGGTTGAATACCTAATCATTGAATTACTCCGAATACTATATAAGTCGTCTTCAATACAACAATAGTACATAAAGAAGAATATAATTAAACTAACGAAGATAAGCGTCTAATTATTATTATAAATACACTTATTTCCATTTACTTAAGAAAAATAGGTTAACGACTGCTCTCCTTTGTCCATAATGAATCATAGACCGCGATATATCTTAGTACTCACGTCTCATTATGCCTACGACCCGCTCGTGTTATAGGTAATATGTTTATGTTGTATGTGACAGAGGTATATGACATGGTGACGTGGCTCGCCAGATAAAGAGCGACCTGAAACACGCACACTAGCAAATTGTGATGATTTAGGTGTGTGACACAATGGGAGATAATTTCAGATCCCATAAGACTGCTAAAAGTATAGTTCTACACTGGTAAAGTATTCTTGATGTTAGTTTTGACTGAAATACGAAGAGTATTATAGTACTTGCTACATTTTTGTACCAGCATTTTATTATTCTTAAATAAGAAAACACACAATCTTCTTGCGGTTTATTCGACTGAAAATCATGGCTTTCAAAGCGCTACAAGAAACCTGACGACTTGTAGTAAATTCAGGACAATGTAGACCCAACAATCAATACAGCAGCAAAAGATTGAAACAAATAACTAATTTTATTCAAAAAAATGTTCAAGGATAGTCCACTATACTTTGAAGATTTGAATTCTTCTTTCTTAAAAAACTGTTTTTAATATCATTTGAGACTACATACTAAACAGATTTTCTCTGAGATTTTCATTATTCTTTTCTCTTTAGCACCCAGTGCGTCCCTCACCTTAGCAGGTCACCTGTACATTCACACGAGTGTCTGTGTGCGTCGTGTAGATAGGCAAGCGGCGTGTTGATGCGGCTTGTTGCCATGGCAACCGCCCCTGCTTCCCAGAAGAGGCGATGTGCTATGTGGTAGTTAGAACGCTGCGGATTGCTTTTTATGTATAGCCTTTTTAAAAATATGTGGGTGAATTTTCTTTGTTGTGCCTTTAGGCAATTTTTTCTTGCTTTCAGAGGTGTTTTTTGTAAGTAACTTACTTAACTAAAGAAAAAGAAAGAAATGGCTGTAGACAGAGATCAATGGAGAAAAATGGAAGAGGCCTTTACTCTGTAGAGAGGTCCTTAATAATATAAATATACATTTTTACATGCATGATAATCAATTACTAAATCATAATTTTTCTGTTGTATATTTTTTTTTATCTAAATTTTATAAAAAAATCTTGAATTGTTACTACTTAATTATGTAAATTTGATATTGTGAAAAAAACATGTAAATCGATTGTTAAGGAATAAATGAGGCTTTATTATTTATTATTAATTTACTTAGCTAAAGTCGAAGGTTTGAAGGGCGTGTCTTTTTGTAAAGGCGAAGTGAAAATTTCGTTAGCAAAATGTCCAGATACAGAGGCATTGCGGAAGATTATTAAAAGTATAAGCCCTTTTTAGGACCATTGTTGTACCTACATGCAATATGGAGTTCATTGTGAAATATGATTGCATACTGGAACAAACTAACGTACCTCATGAATCATGATCGAATTCACCTTACATGTAATGGGTATGATACTTAACACATGGTAACTTTATTGTATGACCACGTAATTTTTTACATGACATTGCATCAACTTCTAATTTGACCAAAATGTTTAACATAGCTATTTTTTTCAATTTTTATAATCATATCAAGATGAAGAGACCACTTAACAAAACCCCAATGAGTCATAATACAATGCGAATCAAAAAGCTTGAACACAAAATACTAACCCTAACGTTTTTTTTCCACAAAAATCAACAAGACACATCGTCCGGTGGCGGTGCATAAAATCAATAACATCCCTATCACCTGTATCATTACGGTTTTTAACGCTAGGGGGCGCCACACATGTATGATTTTACCTTTTTGTTGTGTTGATAACTCTCCCCTCTATCCGTGGCGAATTGTTCGGTAAAGTCGAATGCAGGGAGCATTTCATACTGGTAATTATTCGGCTGAGTTTTTGTGGTTGTGGCAAAAAAATCAATGTTGTTACTGTTATAAAGGTGACTCTTTCTGCTGATGTCAAAGTCAAAGTGATGTCGTGGTGGGCCGGAGGTTTAATACGCCTGCTTCTCATGCATGAGGGTGCGGGTTCGAAACCTACCAACGGCAAGTACCAATGTGACTTTTTCCGAGTTATATGTACTTTCTAAGATTATTTAGACACCACTGACAAACGGTGAAAGAAAACATCGAGAGGAAACCTGGGCTTATAATTTCTAATTAGAAGTTTGTAATCGCCAACCCGCATTGAGCAAGCGTGGTGATTAATGCTCTAACTTTCTCCGTGTGAGAAGAGGCTTTGCTCAGCAGTGGGCATTTATAGGCTGTCGATGATGATGATGAAAGTCAAAGTCAAAGCATATATTTCAATTCACCCTTTGCACTTCTAAGCACTTTTGAATCGTCAAATTGAATTGTGAGTGAAGGTAGGCACTAGTTCCTAAGTAAGTACAGTCTAATACCCTATGACAATGTGAGTGTGACTAATAACATGTTATGTGGCGAAAAGCACCTACCTATTATATTGTTGTGTAGTTGTAAATTTGTTGAGTAGGGGGTCTCCTGTTTAATTACCGAGTGCTGAAGTGAAGAAAGGTTTTTATTTTATTTTTATTCTGTAATGATTATTTAATTATTATTCTGTAATGATAGTATTTATTATTGCTATTAGTTATTTATTTTGTTTCTTTTGCATAATTATTACACAAGCCCATTTTCGCTGAGCTTACTTTTAACCCAAAGGTTGACTGGGAGAAAATGCCATATAGCATTAAGTCCGCCTTATGTACCTTATTTTGTGTGCATTAAAGTGTAAATAAATAAAAAAATAAAAAAATTTATTAGCATTTAGTAAACTTGGGCTGAATTGAATAAATCACCTCTTGAAGCCGATATGTGAGACACAATAGAAAACACATTGTGTCTCGCGTAGATCTACGGGTTAAA